CTTCAGCGTCTGACCATTGCTTACCCATGTTTGTTCTCACCTCATGCTCATGTTCCAAGTTTTGATTTTTTTGTTTTGTTAGCTTGCCACCACGTTGGCTTTTTTCTTTATTAAAGTCTTTTTAATTACTTTAAGTTTGGTCTGCCTGCCTGCATTTTGGGTTCTCCTCACCACCAAGCCATGACACAGACTGGAGATGACTGTTTGAGACAAAGTCAGCTTCCATCACTCCAACATCATTAGTCAAAGGTTTGTGACTCACAACAGGATGCTGATAGTTCCTCTTACCCCTGCAGGAGCTGGATAAGAAACTCTAGAATATCCTTTTCATGCTGCATTGCAAGAGAAGTTGTTTGTCATGATGTGGAGGAGAATTTGTGTCCAACAGACAGGAAGATCAGGACATGTAGGAAGACTGCTCTGCAGATTCTCTTCACATTTCTACTTTTCTTTTCTTCTCTGCAGTGCTGTCTTTTCCTTTCTCTATTGTAATTGCATGTCTGTCAACAAATGACTTTACAAACAGTAACGGCATAAATGTAAATCTTGTCCAGTCTCTGCAATCAAGCTCCCATATTTACAATTTGTAATCAAAAAATGTAGACGTGGTTTACATCAGAACATCCTCCAGAGTACTGTTATATTATCCATACACACGACACACACACTTAACCTCCTGATGCACTGACACACAAACTTAGTTTGAGACATGAACAAAGGATTTTGAGCAAGAAACTGGRGTTTGCAGGTAATCTGTGGTGTTTGGTTATTTATTTGCACACATTATTTTGAGAAATGTACTGACTTTTGTCCAAATGCTGAAAATGATTTGCTTAATGAACCAAAGCAACTGAGAAAAACTAAAGCGGTGACTGTTTATGCAACGTTCTGTACAGTGCATATTTTATTTATCAGTGGGACTTTATAGAGATTTGATGCCTCTTTGGGTCTGACAGTTTTTTATATAAAGGTCTATTATCATCTATGATTAGTCATGACAGCAATAAAATGACAAAACACCTTTCATTCTGTAGTTACTGTAGGACACATGGCTGGTACCAGTTTAAAACAGGTGACACTTAGAACTGTGGTTTCTGCTTTAGTTTCCTCAGGACTGGATCAAGTTTAGGACAGTCTTACACCTGGATCAAACAGATTTCTATTAATTATTCTGTAATTACCTCCACCAACGGCGAGGTAATGTTTTCGGTCTCGTATGTCTGTCGTTCTGTCTGTGGACAACATTACTCAAAAACTTGTGTACAGATTGTCTTGACATTTTTACCACATGTGTACTGGGCCAAGGAACACACCTTTAAATTTTGGTGATGTTCTGGATCACGATGCGGATACAGGAAATCTTTTTCTTTTAACACTGAGATCGGCAAAGCTGTGATGCTTTCACAGGGCTTCTGTAAAAA